CAGTTAATTTTCTACAAAAATGGTCCTTATCACTTTTCTCGAAAATTTGCCCGGTTTCGAGAAAAACAGCACGAAGCGCACCTCGAATAATGAGCTTCTGTGTTGTATGCCGGAGAGCACAGTCCGTGTATTTACACATCGGCGGGGGGACAAATTATTCAATAAATTTGTTAAAAATGCATATTTTCTCATGATTCAAAGTTCATGTGAAAGAGGAATTCTGCTGCTATCATACCCTGCGTGGCCGCATGGTTTGTAGCAGACGACCCGAGCGCCACGTAGCTAGAGCACACGCGGCGAACGACGGAGGAACGAAAGTAATAAATTATAGCGTGTACATTTAGATATACTGGTTTTTTCCCGGGATATCAAAGGTATGACTTATATACAACGATGAAAAGGTGGGAATTCCCCCGTTACACTAGTTAAGGTGTTAAAATGTTAGAAATAAATAGCACGGAGAAAAAAAACATCGAAAAAAAAGTGCGTTTTTTCCTTGACCCCGCTTTTTCTAATTTTATTGAAAAATGGACGACTTCCTCTAACAAAGCAATTGCACAATCGAAAAGTAGACCTTCTTAGCTTTCAAATGATGTATCATAGAAACCAATCAGATCATGTATAAATTTTTAATTGATGGTTGTTCACAAAATTTCCCCGCGCTCCAAAAACAGCAAAAAATTGGGATTCGATAAACAAAGATTAAATGAAAATTAAAAAAAATTACGGTATACAAATTTCAGGGATGACAAAGGACCTCATGAGGACCCATAATCAAGAGAATTTTGAGTAAATTAGTGCAATGCAAAAAAAATAGGAACAAATTCCTGGCGAGGTCAAAATTGACCGGGAGCAGAAAGTTTGACCCATGTTCCGATATGGCCAAAAGAGTCAAGCTGACTCAATTCACAGGGTATGATAGCAGCAGAATTCCTCTTTCACATGAACTCTGAATCATGAAAAAATATGCATTTTCAACAAAGTTATTGAATAATTTGTCCCCCCGCCGATGTGTAAATACACGGACTGTGCTCTCCGGCATACACAGAAGCTCATTATTCGAGGTGCGCTTCGTGGCGTTTTTCTCGAAACCGGGCAAATTTTCGAGAAAAATGATAAGGTCTATTTTTGTAGAAAATTCACTGAATTTCAATTTTTATCTGAACCGAAAATCTCTAACTGCCATATTTTAGGAGATATTGGCTGAAAACCTATTTTTCTGGTCTTTTGGGGCCATTTTCTCTGCCATCGCACGCGTTTTCCAGTCAAACTTTGTCTCAAGTTTAATGAGGTACCAAAAGCTACTTCCAACCGGAAGATGAAAATAATGCGTAATTAATGTTAACTTTTTCCCTTTATTTATTGGACTATATAGTATTTATCAATTCCTATTCAATAAAGAGATGAAGAAAATAATGCATGTTGATGAAGAATTATTGATGCATGCTTGAAAAAATACATCCTATAAAGGGACATGCCATTTTATTTTCAAGAATTGTATAACTCATCTCAGTTGTTCCTGACTCATGTGAAGTTGGCGCCGTTTTTTTTAAACACAAATTTTTTTGGGTTCCTTACTGAAATTTTGAATAGTTCCAGCAAACTGTAGATGTAAATGGAAAAAAAAATTTTGAGCACTAACTTCACTCAGCGCCGTTTTTTGAAGAAAATGAGTTCTGATATATTTTTTTGTTGTATTATGAAGAGTTCTGGAGTTTTAAACCTATTTCTTTTTTAGTCTCCGTTCAGACAATAGCATTGCTTCTTGTTCAGTTAATATAGACAGAACGGTATTCACTACTAAAATCTGAACATGAAAATGGTAAATTCAAGATTAATTGATGAAAACATCCTGTAACTCATCTGATTGCCAAGGTCACCAATTGTCAATGAGAACTGAAAAGCTTGAAGACAGATACGACTTTGCTATTAAAATAATCATTTATGTTGAAAACGGGAGCAGATTCGGTCCCAAAACGTCCAAAGATAAGTGAAAATTTGATATTTTTTCTACATACCTTTATTTCTCTTCTCCATACTTTTTTCAATACAAATTGTCACAGATAAGCTAGTGAATTTTTCTTCTAGGCTCTCTGATAGGAAAATTATTTGAAAGCAGTGACATTTTGGGGCAAATCATCTGATTTGTCCTTACTACAGGTACATTGAAATAATATTAATATTTTTATTTTATTCACGGGAATCAATGTCACCAGGTGGCGCTCGGTTTTCATCGTTCCATGTCAAAGTCACGTCAAAACTGGGGGAAAACAAACTCAATCTTCACTCAATCCCGTTAGTGCCATCAGCTTGTGTACTGTGTACTGATAAGAGTGATAAGTTTTTAAATTTCTTGACATTAATTGTCAATATTCCATCGAAAATAATGCCTGTTGTAGATGTTCTTTTGGCAGATATTTTGCTCTATTTAGACGGAAAAAGCCGACCAGTAGTGGAAGGATAAGCGGTTCTCCCTACTAATCATGTGATTTTGTGTGAGGTAGAAGACTCCAAAAAAAGGCACATTTTTGCACTTTGTCTACAAACTTCGGCGATCAAATCTTCCCCACATGAAGTAAAATTGAAGTTGGGGTCCAGAGGAACTCCTGTAGAACAATGGATTTGTATTTGTTCATGCAAAGGAGGACAATCTGGGTATTGTTAACATGTTGTTGCTGTTCTTTTATAATTATGTAGATTGATTTGCTCCTCATAATTAGTTTGAATTGTTTGAACTATCTCCAATTCTTCACCCGTTCACTGTTCAATAAACTAATAAAAATGTAATAATGTTAAAAAATTAACCAACTCAACCATCATCACTACCAACAGTGCCAACACTTTATGTCATTGACAAATTTGACTACAGCTACAGCAAGCTGAATGCAATGTAGTCTATGCACTTTATCCATAGACAACAGTTTGTTTTCCCCCAGTTTGAAGTTCCTATTATGTAACCTAGATGTCGCCCACTTTGTGAATCTCGCCAATAGAAACAAGGAGAGAAAATCCCAAAAAATTCAGAATAATGAATTTAAATTTCATAATGATTTTCCTCTCTTTTTCTCAAAAGCTTTTTGTTCAATATGAAACAGAAGGGAATAGTATTCCACCAAGATAATATGCTGCCTATAGAAACGCATTTTGGTATTTTATTTCCTTGAATTATTCAATAATTTACTTAGTTCAATCAGCACTCATTTTCTCCAGGAAAACGGTGCTGTGTGAAGTTAGTGCTCAAAATTATTATTATTATTTCCATTTACATCTATGATTTGCTGAAACTATTCAAAATTTCAGTCAGGACCTCTAGAACCCCATCAAATCCAATCAGAACTCAAACAAAAATATTTAGTTTTCAAAAAGGAAAGGCGCCAACTACACATGAGTTTGTTCCTGTGGTTAGGTATTAGTTCCTTTTTGAGTGAAACCATTCTCACACATATTTTATCAAGAAAATGATTTGAATATTGGACATGAATTAATCATAAGTATGGTACAAATAAGATGATGTCACCACCACAAAATATAAAATTAGCACAGAACATTATTACCTTGTTTACACCAATAATCCAGATGACTAACAGCAAAACCAAATTTAAGATTCTATAGGATTTTCATGAATAATTGTCAGCTGAATGATTCAGCTTACCAAGCCTTATAGATTTTACTAGGCCTATGCTCAATAATAATGATAGTAATAATAAATTGCCTTTATTTTACATGCTGGAGTTTAGCATAGTAATGTGAATAGTTTGTTCAAGATAAGTATGAACAATCATTGATGATAAATCTTACCTCCTTGGCCAATTTGCAGTAGGGACAAGATGTCTTGGAGAAGATCACAATTTTGTCAGATTTGATGAAATCCATTACTAGGGCTGATTTAACAGAATGTGTTTCAGAGGACATCTTTGTGCTGAAAATACCCATATATCTATATAAGTATTCTAATTCCAAGCAGCTGAAATCACCAGGATTAATACAAACCAATTATTATAGTTGGAATCAAATAAAATTCAGGTATCTGGTCTAGAAGGAGAATGACTCTTGAATTTGTGGAGTGTAGTAGTTACACAGTTATAATTATCTGTGTTATCATAGTGATTTGAGATAACACTCCCACTTTACTGTTGTTGTTTGTTGTTTACTTTAGTGATCAAATTTTTAGGAAATCATGTTGCTACTATCATGGGACAGATAAGTAATAATCCAATAATAATAATGACCTTTGTGGTAATTTTGCACTTATCATGCCATGGTTTTTTTTTTGGAAAATTTTTTTTGGTACATATGTATTTTTGTATGAAAAACATGAATTTGATGATGAAAATGTGAACAAACCACTATTTATCAAGATATTTCAAGAAAAAGTTCGAAATACACTTTTCCCCCTTGTGTTGGATGCATTTATACAGGTACTTGCTCTTTATTTTGTCATTGGACACTTTATATACTCATGATGTACTTCAATGCCACCTTTTAAAGATAGAAAATTCAACAGGAAATATGATTTTTATGGCGAGCGGAAGATTATTTTCTAGTTATGCTTACCTCTCAACTAATGAATCTGTGACCTAATTGACTGATGGTAATTTGGATTCTAAGTCATTGATCATAAAAAAAACATCAGAATGGCAGCAATCAAATACTTGCTCAACCCTTGTTGCCCTTCCTTATTTCTTCTGATCCTTCTTCCAGTAGCTCCAGTACCCAGTTCTTCCTTTCCTTGACGTCGACCTTATCTTCAAACTTCAATCATCAATCATCAACTTCTTTTATCTTTTAGTCACCGGCCACGTGACACGAGCGTGATGTACGATTGTCTCGCGGCAGGAATACAATTTGGTGCAATGACGTCACTGTTGATAATGACTTCATAAGTCACTTGTCAATTCAATCGTTTCGTTATTCGTTGTTAAAACAAAACAAGTTCAAGACTTCAAGTTCAAGATGTACTCATTTCATTTTGTCTTTTTACTTTTTGCCTAAACATAAATATGGTTAAGAATCACGAGAATCATTACCGTTGCTCAATTTGTGATAAGACATTTGTTCAAGTGCAAGGTTTATACCGCCATGAGAGGGAAAAACATAATAAGATGACAACAAAATTACTACACTGTTATCATTGTAATCAGCAGTTCCAAAGGAAATATCTTCTTGTTGTTCATTTGAAAGCTGTTCATGGCATACCGTCCCGATGTGGAAAAAATAAGAAAAGGATTAAATGTGCTGTATCACCTTGTGAGGAAACATTTACAACGTACAGAAAACATCGTAACCATTTAGAATATTGTCATTCCTTTACATCAAATGAAGAGAAGTTACATTTTGAAAATTTACAAAGTAGGTAGCTTCAACATAAATTTATATGAACTAGTTTGGTGCCAAAAATAATTAAATATTTTCAGAATTTAAAGAATGGAAGGTGAAAATGGAAGAGCAACAGAAATCAAGATTTGTCCAAGATACATCTGCAAAAGTATTGGGGAAGAAAAACATAAAAAGGTTATATTATATTTGTCATAGAACAGATTTTCTCAAACCATTAAAAAATTCCAAACGCCATTTGAAAAACAGTGGATCCAACAAAATAGGGCGTACTTGTCCAGCAATGATAGTTGCTTCTGTGCAAGATTCAGTGGAAGTATCTTTTTTCTCTACTCACGTGGGACATGAGTGTGAAATTGGCAGAATGCCTTTGTCTATTGATGATAGGAACCAAATTGCAGGTAAACAATAACTCCTGGCATTATTATAATCCAATCTATAGGCACAGTATAAGTGGACAATATCTTGATATTATGATTTAACATGAAAATGAAATCTCAAAATAGTAGTAGTTTAATGTGACAAGTTTGTCAAATATAGCTTTGAATTAATTATATAATGTATATCAAAAGCACTTATCAAACAAATACATTCATTCTTATAGGCTTGTATTCCAGGAAAGTTGGTCGAAGGAGTTACAATTCAAAGAATTTTGGATGATGTAAGAGAAGAAGCTGCCCAGTCTGGTTGTATACAGAGACGTATTCATTTACTGGAGAAGAAGGATCTTCATAATATAAAAAGAGATTTTTCCATTAGCTATTCAACAAAGTTTCATGAGAATGATGCGTTAAGTGTTAAATTATGGGTTGAAATGATGAAAGAAAAAAAGTTAGAAAATAATTGTGAAGTTCTTTATTATAAAGAACAGGGTCAATGTGATACTTTCTTTGAGAGAGAAGATTTTATACTTATAATCATGACAGAATATCAAGAAATGGAACTATGTTTGTTTGGAAGTGAAAAAATTTGTATTGATGGAACCCATGGTTTGAATGCATATGGTTTCCAATTATACACAATTATGGTTGTTGATGATTTTGGACGTGGAGTTCCAGTATCATTTTGTTTTTCCAATAGGTCAGACACAAAATTATTTGAGGTATATTTCAATTGTATAAAAGACAGGGTAGGAATTATAAATACTAAGGTATTTATGTCTGATGATGCTCCTGCTTTTTACAATGCCTGGTGTTCAGTTATGGGACCAGCTATGCATCAACTGCTCTGCACCTGGCACATAAGAAGAAACTGGTTTGAAAATTTGAATAAAATTACTGGGCCAAATAGTAAAGACAAAAAAACACTTGTTTTCAAAACTCTGAAAGTATTGCAGACTGAAGTGGATAAGGAAAAATTTCATTTAGGACTCGCTAATTTTCTGACAGACTTGAGAGAAGATTCGGATACTATGCTTTTTGGTGAATATTTTTCGAAAACATACTGCAATAGAGTTGAAAAATGGTCATATTGTGAAAGAAAATATCTAGGAATTAACACCAACATGTATCTTGAAGCACTTCACAAAAAAATCAAATATAGTTACCTTGAGGGAAAAAATGTCAAGAGGCTAGATAAGTCATTGAATTCATTACTTGTATTGGTAGGGGATTCAGCCTTTGAAAAAATTATTACACATTCCAAGAACAAACTGACATCAAAAGTTTTGAGAATTAGAGAGAGTCATAAAAGGAGTTTGAATATAACAGATTCTATGATTCTCGTGAATTCAGAAAGCAATAAATGGGAAGTAGTCTCATCTGAAAATTCATCAAAAAAATATGAAATCCAAAAGGAAGAAGTTGACAGTTGTTCGAGCCTGAAATGTAATTTAAAATGTTATGATTGCAATATTTGTGTCCACAATTTCAAATGTACTTGTCTAGATAATATTATTCATTTCAATATTTGTAAACATATCCATGCAGTTGTTAAACATGAAAATATATTACATGGAAATGTATTCAGTGAAATGAAAAATCATACTGAAATGCATAATATTTCTTTCCCCACACTTATACCATTAGGCCAATCAGTTGAAAAAAATAAAGAAAAAATTACTGAGATTAATGCAAAATGTGAATTATTGATAGGATTATCATCTCGATCCAACCTTGAAGATGATGGTATCAATAAAATAATAAAGCATCTTGATGAAGCCATTAAAGAAGCAAATAAAGGAGAAGTCAATTTTGTTCAAAAGAAATCTTTGAATATTAATAAATACATAGAAAAACAGAGATTTCAGAGTAAGAAGAAAAAAAAACATCAGGGAAACATTCATCCAAACCCATCTGAAGTTGAAAAAAATATCATTCAAAGGTCATTTTCAAAAAGAGATACATCAGAAGTTTTATTTATACATACTGGCTTTGATCACTCATATGCTTGAATATAATAATTATAAATATGTAGGTATCTGGATGCATTAAATATGTCTTGGATTAGTTGTATACAGAGAAATGCCCCATTAATTTTTTTTTAACGATTGTATAATGTATTCTATGACAAATAAAGATTTGATTTAATATGTTGAGTTTGATACCACACCCCTGACCTAATATTTATTTTATTTCTATGATGGTTTTTCAGAAAGCCTAGATCCTGCCTAGATTCAAATTATGGACATACCAGGACATACTTATCAATTTTAATTTAAGTTTTCTCATTGGGAAATTGATGATTCCATCTGAATTATTTCTAAAATTTATCCAACAGTAGATGGACAAAGAATATTTCAGAATGTTGGAAAAAAGTTGAATTCATCGTTATAGACGAATATTCAAAAATTAGAAATGCCGCAGCCGCAAGTAGATTGTGATAACATTTTAATAATTTCAAAATACTTGTGACCACGCAGCATTGCTGCAGCGCTGCAGCCAGCCTTAATGTCATAACAGTGACGTCATTGCACCAAATTATATTCCTGCCGCGAGACGATCGTCATGAAGTCATCTCAAGTTGAAGGACGTTGTCATTTTGGTTGTCAGTGTCACAGTGTCACTCACTTGTCACTGTACTGATCTGCGATCTCTGATCTGATCATGATCTGAACCCTGTACAGGACCGTACTTCTGTCGTTTCTGTATGAGATTTATTTTTATCTTCTGCGACGCACGAAAGGGAATCTCGATAATGTTCACTTGTTCAGAAAACATCGTGCATTTATAAAATTAGAAAACATTATAACCACGTATCACGATTTTCATTAAATAATTGATTATCATATAAACTAGGGTCCCTTGATGGAAATTGACGTTAAAGTCACTGGCGTATCATACGTAATTTCCATATGAAATTCCTGATTCAACTATACCAAGATATAGATGAACAATCCTCTAGTTTTAGAGTTTACTACTCCAGCATAATCTTTGTGAGGTAGGGAATATATGAATTGTACTGAAAGCTCAATATATTTCTCCAAAGGAGACTGTATACCAGGGTTGACTGAATTAACTGAATTAATTCTGATTTCCAGCTGAGCGGAAGTTTATATCTATGAGCTGAATGAGCTGAGCCCTATGATTGAGAAATGGTTGAAACCTCAATGTGGGTATCTGAACTACTGTACGCATGTCATGTGATGTGCTAAAATATATTTTCGGAATTCCAATTCGGAGAAGAATTTATGGAGTGACTAATATCACACAATGTATAAAACATCGTCTGGGACGAAAAGTAGGCTGATAAAAAGTAATACGTAAAATGTGCAGGAAAATAAAGAATAGAATATACTTTACCCCCATGTTATACATATGATTTTTTCGTCTCCCTCGAATAAAAAGTCATTTTCGAATAATTTATTGATGAAAGTAACAAATAAGTTGGTATACGCCTCCGTATACGCAGTAAAACTTACAGGAACGTTATTTTCACTCTTGCATCCTACATATTTTCCATTTGTGGTATAGAGTAGTGATTATATGAACTAATGTATTTCGCCATATTGGATCCGTTATCTTGAATTTTACAAGTTTGACGGAACAATCATTATCTCCAACCCCAGTTACCTTTCAATTTTGAATAGAATCGGATCATAATTACAAAACTCGTTCGCCATATGATCTTCCTCAAGAAGTAAATACCCTGTACATACCTATTATTAAAATTTCGAATGATTTTCTGTAGCGCCCATGGATGTGACGTGACAGCAATGTCAGGGATGCCAGTAGTAAAAACATAAGTCTCTAGATCATTAAAAAAGAATGCAGCTATGATCTGTCCGTACCCTGTTAAGATGACTTTAACCGTTGATTGATATATACGCTTCTTCAACGTCAATTTCCATCAAGGGACCCCAATATGAGCAAGTCTTCTGTTTTTCTTCCTTATATTTAATAGGTCGTAACTCTGATTGTTTAGAAAAAGTAGTCTCTCTTCTAATACAAAAAGGATATTTTTCTTCTGTATGTTCGATATACCTATTGTCATAGAATTGGGGGCATGAAAGGGAATTCCTATAATGTTCAGAAACCATCGTGCATTCATATAATCAGAAAACATAACCACGTATCATGAATTTCATCAAATAATTCATTATTAATAAGCTAGTCTTCTTGAAAAAAAGTTCGGATAGAACTGACAAAAGTTAATATTGGCGATTTTATAATCGCCAGAATGAAGGATATTTCCCTTCGCCTCATATTTATTAGGTCGTGTTAGCTTGATTGTTTAGAAAAAAGTAGTCTCTTTCTGTATGCAGAAAGGATATTTTTCTTCAGTATATTGGATATTCACAAGGGAATTTGAAAAAGTCCGTCACGGCAACGAAACAATAATGTCCTTCTCTCAGGTAACGTATCTCTGACAAAACTGGTAACCTGTAGAGTTGAAGATGTTTCGAAACGTTCGTTGAAGAGTAACGTTATTTGCGGTCGCCAAATCTTTAGATGACGTTATTGCGATGACATTAAAACATACGGAAAAAAATCCTAATCCCTGCGGCATAGATTGAAAGTTAGACTTCTTTTCCCGTGGTTTTGAATGTCATCAGAACATTATCTACTGACTGGATGGAATCAAAATTGATATGCTGATGACTCATCTAGTTTTGGAGATCTTCATAAAGTGAGAGAATGGTTTGATAAATTGCAGATTGATGGTGCCAAATGGGGATACTATCCTGAACCTGTGAAAAGTTTTTTTGGTTGTGAAAGCTGGAAATGAACAAATAGCTAGAAACGTGTTTCATGATCTTGATATCAATATCGTAACCTCGCATCGCTTTTTAGGAGGAATATTGGGATCATCAGGTCAAAAAATTGACTGTGTCAAAGAAAAAATCGATATATGGATAGAATGTGTGAAAGAATTCGGTACTGCTGCAATGAAGAGTCCGCAAGCTAAAGCTTTGCAGCATTTACAAAATCTCTACAATCTGAATGCGGAATGCCATAAGAGAAAATTGTACACCCTATATCTACTTGGACATGAAATAACAAACATTGAACATGATCTATTTGCTCTTCCCACCCGTCTAGGAGGTCTATATATTAAATACCCTGTAGGAAGTACAGAACGATCTTTCGAAATTTCTAAAAATTGCACTAAAAAATTAATCAATGCCATCAAGTCCAAACAAGCTTTTGATCTTAATGACCATCTAACCACTCTGAGTAACATTATCAAAAGAGAAAGGCAGAGGAAGATTGACAAATTTGTGAGTGAGAGATTATAAAATCACTTTCCTGCACATTAAAAACGACCAATTACTCGCATTGTGGAAGGGGCTGCTAGTCAATGGTTGACTGTTATACCTACTGCAGCTGATAATTTTGATTTATCACCGACCCAATTCAGAGATGCTTCAGCCCTCCGTTATGGACATTCATTAGATAATATGTCTGTTTCATGTGATGGATGTGGAGAAGAAATGAATTTATCGCACGCACTAAATTGCAAAGAAGGTGGCTTAATAAAACATGGACATGACTAACATCGTGATCATTGTGCGGCGTTAGCAAATTTACCTTGGAATGGCGTAAACTTAGAGCCAGTTCTTCGTGAGGCTGACCCCATCATCAATATTCCTGCCCTCTATGCTGAGTGGTCTGGGAAGCTGAAAAAGTTGCGTTTTTCGATAACCGCATTATTAATGCCGACGCACCCTCTTATATATACTTCCCAAAGCTGGCATACCATCGCCCATAATCATGCAAAGCGAAAGCATAGAAAATATGACAGTGCAGCAGAATTCATCAGAGCTCTATAGGTTCACTCCATTGACTTGTTCTGCTGAAGGTGTATCACACCAGCAGCAGCAGGAATGTGCCGTTTTTCAGAAACGTTCAGCAGATACATTATCACGAAAATGGAAGGCCGTTCCTCAAACAATAGGGTGAATTTGCATACAAGCGCAAATGTCCATAATCAGAGCCGTGTCCCTGCGATTGAGAGGTACAAGACGGCATATAAGCGTATATAAGCCATATGAGGGCGGGGCAGCTGTACCTATTTCATTCCATATTTAAATTTGTTCATCTCCATTGGGTTTCACTTACTTCTACTTATATTTCCACTAACTGTTTTATTGATATCCAAATTATCTACTGACCTTAGAATTTATAGACCTTGGGACGCGATAATATTGGACACCAGAATGTTGGATGTAGTCTGCGCATCTGTTGCGAGGCGCTCGTCAAATGTTTGCATACACAGGGCAGACAATTGATATGTTACATTGACTGGTGGCATTTGACATTTTGTTCTACAAATTCATCTGTTCTGTGTCAGCCATTATTGAAGTATTTGGCTGGTGATTCAAGCAAGAGGCGAAGAGACACGCGGTTCGTGCATCTGGATTATCAAATTCTTCTAAAAAGTAGCTGATATATTGACTTGAAATTTGTAATTAACATGTCGAATAACACAGCTCCAGATAGTTGGGAATCTCAAGCCGACTCTACGTCAACAAATAATTCTCCTGAACATAATGCAGATGTGACATCTCAATTTTCCACGTTGAACGTTAATGCTGTTGAATTTGTGCCTTCATTTTCATTCGGAAAAACTCCTGATGTCGATGAGAAGTCATCACCAACAAATTCACAAGGATCAAACAATTCACCCAAACATGATTCTCCTTCTTTACCAAATGGTAAGTGGTACAAGTTCATTAACACCCATTATAAGGTTATACATTCTTCAATTCGTTTTTTTCTTATGGGTTTGTTGAAGGCCTTCATAGATAGTTGAAATGTTAATCAAGCAGAACCTCTGACTTTCCAAGTATGCACAATATTGAAAATCCTGTTATCTTAACTGTCCCTCTGTACTAGTTCCTGCAGTTCTTGGGGAATAATGTTGCACAACTCAGGTATTTTTGTATTGTTAAATTATATTTTTCTGTTGAGATAAAAGTTGATGATCAGATGCATGGTTCTGTGTCTTTCCTTCCTCCAGTAATACCTATATCATTATCATAGGTAACCATGAACCAGTTCATACTGGTTTGAGTTGGTTCTTGAAGTGTAGTTTCAAATTCAACTTGACCCAGTCAGTTTGTTTCACAATATAAGCATTGACCAAGGCATTGACTGATACTGATAGGTAACCTGTAATATCCATTTTTCCCAAATTTTGTTATTTATTTACTTGGCTATTTATCATCTAGTGCAATAAAAAAATACAAAAAGGTTGGAGTTGATTAGTGAAAGCATAACCTGACCAATATATTAATTTTATGATAAATTATTGTTATTGAAGATTGTTGTTATGTTTGTACTTTTATAGAAATAACTCATTAAATTTGTTTGTAAACTTTCTATGGGTCCTAATAGTATGATAGTTGTTGGGATAAATGTGGATTATGTATAAATAATTTCTATGAGCTAGTTCTAACTTGGTAATAACAATTTATATTAGTTTATTTCAGATTTCACAGTTCTTTTTTTCAGTTTTAAGTTCAGGACCAAGTTTGATCCTGCATCAATTCCCTTGTCAATTCCACAGTATATCACAGGACAAAGTTGAGTTATATTAGCAATACTCTCCACTTATACACTTTTAGGAGAACATTTGCCTAAAGAACACCAAAATACTTGACTTTTCATCCTTGGTCACATCTTCAATTGTCATATGCTGGTTTGTTCACCTAACTGATTCATCAGAGGTTTATATAAAAGTAAAAAACATCAAAATACATGTTTTCATACAATTTTGACAGATGTAGTGACTTGAAATGTCTGAGATTTTTTTAATTGACAATAAGATTTCCAAGAAATTCTTGATAACTTGACATGTTTCACTAACCCAGAAGCTTCTTCAGGTGAAATATTAATACAATGTACAATAATCTCAATTTACTGGCTTGCATAACTTTTATATTCTACTTTCTCAACCTGAAGAATTAGATTACCTGTAGAAAGGTTCAATAAACCTTCATTCTCCGAAAATAGGCCCAGATACAGGGTGATCAAAATTCTTGAATCTTGAACCACCTTGTATTTGTGTCAATTAAATGTCAGTAGATGGTGAATCAAAAGTTAAGATGGGTACATGTATAATAGTTTCCACACAAAAAAATCCTATGGTTGAAAAATCTCCATTTTGAACACTATGTATCTCTGTAATCATTCCTGCTAGACCCCAAGTGTGATATATTGATGAAATAAGCTCTTCAGGAAGAACCAAAGAATACAATAAAACAGACTGTTAATTAATTGAGTGCCGATAAAACAAGGATTTTAAGGAGAAATAATTATATCATAAACCTCTGTTTTTGAGCTATAGGGTGTTGAAATCAGAGGCATACAGTTTTTGAAAGTAAAAAAATGATTTTCTTCTCAAAGCAAAATGTGTTTCCACTCATAGTGGGTGCCTACAATATTTTAACAAAATGCCTAAGAACAATCTCAATAAACTGAAGAAAAAAATATTTTTGGTTTTTATTTTCTTATGCAAAAACTGTAATTTATGAAAGTAAGTCTAAGAACAAAATTTGCTCCAAAATAAATGGGGATGTCCAAATCAATTTTCAGTCAGTGGCGTACAACTTTTTTCTTCAAAAATTGTCATTAAAACCCCGTACGGACGTCACTGGTGAAAATATTGTGAAATCACTGTTGTCAAAATATGCTACTTGATGATGAGAAAGTGTGTTCAAAATTTTATAAATTATCTAAGAGTCATAAGATCGAATAAAAGACTCACTTTTTTTTCTTAGAATCTCGACACACTGTAGCTCAAAAACTAAGAGGTTTCGGATCCAGTTTATGACATGTTGATAAAAACTTTTCTCCTTGGAATCACCCAAGGATTCTCACCTTGTATTATCGGGGTATCGGGTGCTCCATTAAAAAAAACATCATCAGCCGATATCATGGAATTCGAACACCCTATAGATATGAAAATAATTTTCAGCATTAAACCCCCAGAAATTTAAGGAGAACACCAATTCCTATCTTATTTCCCTTGGTTCTCACGATGTTCTCTGAACATTACAGGATATCTCTTTTCATGGGAACCAGAACATTAAAAAAATATATCTGATGGTTTGGTTTTAATATTATAATAATAATAATTTATCACACTTATTTAAATATTACAAACATACAGGCTGATTCAAGGTGGAAAGCACATTAGACGTTTCTTGAGAACGTAATTTGGGATTATTCTGATAATTTGGTGCCTTGGATAATCAGTTGTGCTCTATGGACCTAAATATTCTCTGCGCTGCGACGTTGCCGCTTATATTGAAAAGTTGCAACAACTTTGATTCCTTGAATGGGACACCCTGTATATTATTCCATTTTCAGATTTTCCCGGAAGAGCTGATTCTATCGACCTATACCACTTGGAGTCTAGCAGTGACAATTACAGAGATATAGGGTGTGAAAAATCGAGATTTTTCAACTTCAAGATTTTTTGTGTCAAAACTATTCATAATGGGGGAGACCACTGATTTTTTAAAATGACATTATCGTGAACTCTATACTGAAAAACTACCAGCGAATTAATTTTGAATTTTGTCATTCCTGCTAAGACGATGTAAAAAATAAATTAGAATATGTCCATTTCAAAACACACAATTCCTGCGCCATTTGAAATTTTGTCAATTCATTGATGTGACTGGTGCGACGTCTCATTCCCAACACGCCTATTGTCCTTGAACTGGCCAATCAAACTGCAACTAAGAATCCAGAGTTCAATACCTCTGTTGTCTTGAGAGATACAAAAAAAAGTTTCGCATTCAAATTAAAGTGATAACCGAGCTTCACATTTCAAAAGTTCTTTGACATATACAGGGTGTTCCGTAAGGTCACAACACATCAGATCTGATTTCAATGACGTATCATACTCAGGGTCTAGCAGTGAAAGTTACTGACATATAGGGTGTGCAAAATCGAGATTTTCCAAGTTCAGGATTTTTTTTGTGTCGAAACTGTTCATTATTCGTCAAAACGGTTCACATGTCCCTATCTCAACTTTTCACTCACTATCAATTGGTGTTCAATTGACATTCAATTGAAACAAATTATAAATCAAGATTTTTTGATCACCTTGTATCAATTTCGTAGAATATGTCAGTAACTTTCACTGCTAGACCCTAAGTATGATGGGTCGTTGAAATCAGATCTTCAGGGAGAATTCAAAAATGAAATAAAATATAGGGTGTTCCAATGAAAAAAACAGAGCTTTGATGTGCTGTGACCTTACGGAACACCCTGTGTATTTCAAAGGAATTTTGAAATGTGAAGCTTGGTTATTACTTCAATTTTGATCCATGAATTTTTTTGTATCTCTCAAGACAACAGAGAAATCGAACTGTGGAGTCTTAGTTGGCCACCCTGTACATCAAACGTAAATCATGATTCGTCGATTGAAAGAGGTTTGCACGGATTTCTTCTCTCAGTGGTCTTCCCCATTGCTCAAAACGGTTTCCATGTCCCTATCTCAATTTTTTATTTAGTATCAATTGATATTTAATTGAAATAGGTACAGGGTGGTTCAGAATTTAGATTTTCAACCACCCTGTATCTATTTCAATTACATATCAATTGTTAGTACCTGAAAAGGTGAGATAGGGACATAAAAACTGATTTGACTAATCATGAATAGTTTCAACACAAGAAATTCTCCAAGTTGAAAAATCTCGATTTTTCACACCCTATATCTTTGTTATTAGTCCCGCTAGACCCCGAGTGTAATGGATCGATGAAATCAGCACCCCAATAAACTTAGCAGAACCACTTCAATATTTTGGAATTGCAATAGTACTATAATTTGTTACTAATTTAGTACTAATTTATTATCACATTCGCAAATTTATTACTCTTCATTGAACAGAAAAAAACCAACGGCTTTGCTAGCTTTATGTCAACCTAGCAGAACCATAGCTAAACAATTATTATTTTGAAAACTTCAAATATACCATAATTTATTACTATTTTATTACCAACTTATAATTATAATCACGAATTTTTTACACATCATTTCCAGAAAAAAAACGACGATTTGACTATCTCGATCTCAACCTAGCAGAACCAAAACTCAAATCACATGTTTTTTGGAATTCTGTTGTATCATCGATAAGTTACTAATTTATTACTGATTTATTACCACATTAAACATGTGATTTGAGTTTTGGTTCTGCTAGGTTGAGATCGAGATAGTCAAATCGTCGTTTTTTTTCCATGAAATGATTAGTAAAAAATTCGTGATTATAGTTATATGTAATAAAATAGTGATAAATTATGGTATATTTGAAGTTTTCAAAATAATAATTGTTTAGATATGGCTCTGCTAGGTTGACAGAAAGCTAGCAGAGCCATTGGTTTTCCCTGTTGAATGAAGTGTTAGAAATTTGCGAATATGGTAATAAATTAGTAATGAATAAGTAACTTATCGATGATACAACAGAATTTCAAAAAACATGTGATCTGAGTTTTGGTTCTGCTAGGTTGAGATCGAGATAGACAAATCTTCGTTTTTTTCCGTGAAATGATGAGCAAAAAATTCGTGATTATAGTTATAAGATAGTAATAAAATAGTTATAAATTATGGTATTTTTAAAATTTTCAAAATATTAAATTTTCAGCTATGGTTCTGCTAGGTTGACATAAACCTAGCAGAGCCGTTGGTTTTTTCTGTTTAATG